GATGAGATTGACCAGGAAGGGCATGAGGAACTTCCTGGGGAGATAAATGTTCTGTATCTTGTAGGGATTTGGGTTCATGGCTGTGTGCATTTGTTAGCACTTATTGAATGGTACACTTAAGATCTGTGCATTTCAATATACATAAATCCTATCTCAACAGAAGGAACCGTAAACAAATATTGAACTCTAGTTAATAATGGTATGCATGTGTTAGTGTTTAGAATTGAGCTGTATTGATGTCTGCAACTTTGAAATGTATCAAAAAGAAGATGGATTAATGAATGGATGGAGGGATGGGAAGATAAGTGATCAAGCAAGTAGAGGAAAATGTTAATGGTGGAATCTAGGTATTGGGTGTCCACTGTACAATTCTTTGAACTTTTCCATATGTTTGAAATTTTTCATAATGTCGGGAAGAAAAGTGAATTAGGAAGCCAAGGAGGAGACAGCAGGGAGTAGCAGGGACTGTGGTGAACCAGGAGGCATGGGTCTCTCCTGCTTAGTTGTTATTGCCACATGTGATTATAGGTTCAGTGATGCCAGATCCTCCCACTGTTATGTGAAGTCTTCTGATGTTTAAGTGTCAGGAAACAATTCACGCCAAATTGTCAAGCAAAACATACCTGCAAATGATTCAGCCTCTGGACCACCAGTGTGCTACTTTTGACACAAAACAAGGTGATTCAGAGCATCGCTTTGTGACCAGGCTGTATCCCAGCCCAGGCACCCCCTCACTGGAAGTGAGGCCTTGGGCAGGCACCTCACCTCTTGGAGCCTCTTTTTCCTCATCCATGAAATGGGACTACAAATAAAGCCTATGTCAGCCGGCTGAAGTGAAGCTTAGCACAGTATCTGGAATACAGTGAGTGCTTAATAAACGGTAGCTATTGCTACTGTTAGCTTTCTGGAAACATACTAGAGAAGGAGCTCCTGTGGCCTTTGAGCTCCTGTGGCCACAGTGGGCCATGATGTCTGCCTCCTCAGTGTGAGAAAAGGCAGCCGCCCTTCCCTGGGTGTCCCTGAGCCTCCCAGCTGTCTTCACTACCTTCTCACAGTCCCACAGAAGGCTCCTTGTGGGTTTGACGCCAATATTTTGCGTGGCACCACTTGATTGCACACTGCAAATGCCTGAACACACTCTACCTGGAGCCACATCATTTGCTTGCCATTTGAGCCACCGTCCTAGCCCAGCACTTTCGTGTGTGGGGGGAAGGAGGGTCCATGGTGTTTGCCTCCACGGTCGTGCGCATGCTCAGCCCTTAGAGGCCTGGCTGAGCCCCGTGGAGTTAGGGCATATCCCCATTAGGGGAGGAGCTGAGCTGAGGTCCCACATGTTACCTAGGAGCTCAAAGCAAGGCCAGCCAGACTAGGGAGCACCTGGACCATACTCTGGACAACTGGGAGGACACATCCGAAGGCTCAAGTCCATGGACAGTCTCCCTCTGCAAGACCCTGGCCAACAACATAGGTTCACAGGTATTAGAGATGGAAACACCAAGTAACACTGTGGGTGCCTCAGGGGTCTTAAGTTAGCCACTTCCCCATCTCTAACATCTTCCCCAAGCCATCCTCGATGAAAAGAAGATCTAGGTAAAATCAGCATGCTCGCATAACGAGCACAAGACAGTTCTCCCGACCCCCGCTTCCAATCAGCTGGTCATCTCTAGACCTCTTTTACATGGACATTCTGGAGCCACCTCTGTGAGAAGACCCTTGCTGGTTTGGGAGACGAAGATACGAAAACCCTACAAACCAGATATTGCCAAGATCAGGCAGGTGATATTAATAAGGGAAGCTGATTGGTTCTTCAATAATTGATTTCACATTATCTTAAATTGTAGTCTATATAGATACTTGTTTCATTCATTCATTCATTCATTCATTCATTCCTTTCCACATGTTAAACACGTGGAGACATTCTTTGCTTAAAAAGATGTTCCTGAGATTTATCTTTAAATTTGCAGCCCTATGGGTCTAGCTTTCACCAGCCTATTTTGGCAGGGAAACGGATTCAAGAAATATTCCGCTTTCCTCTGCGATATAAGGAAAAGATAACACAAGTGTGAGGATACCTGTGGGTGGCATGGGGAGCACTAAGGAGCCGTGAGGACTGTGGTGAACTGTGTGCCTGTCACAGAGAGGCAGCTGCTACCCACATCCAGATGGTTGTTGCCACCGGAATGTTCAGTCCAGTGGTGCTAGAGTTTCTGGTTGTTTTTTTTCCCCAAGAGAAACCAGAAATAAGAATTTGTATAACAAATCTCCTTGTTTTAAAATTTGGCAATTATTTTAAATTAAAATTTTAGAAAACAATACTATGCAGGCCAAAATAGACAATGTCCGTAGGCCGGGTCTAGCCTGTGGGCCACCAGTGAACAACCTCTGGTTTATTGTAAACTTGACACAGTCTGTAGTTGCCTATCCATGAGAACGTTGACTTGCCTGTTGTGAGTGCCCCCATCTGATTTTTTTTAAAGGCCTATATCTATTTTTTTAATTAATTTTTTATTGAGGTCACATTGGTTTATAATGTCATATAAATTTCATGACTATATTTTGACTTCTGTATAGACTGCACCGTGTTCACCTTCGATTGTCTAGTTGCCATCTGCCACCACACACATGTGCCCCTTTACCTCTTTCACTTTCTCTCACTTCCCTTCCCCTCTGGTAACCACCAATCTCTTCTCCTTATCTATGTGTTTGTTTGTTTGTTTATCCCCCACATAAGTGAAGTCATACAGTATTTGGCTTTCTCGATTCTGACTTATTTCACTTAGCATAATACCCTCAAGGTCCATCCATGTTGTCACAGATGGCAAGATGCCATCTTTTATATGGCTGAGTAGTATTCCATTGTGTACATATACCACATCTTCTTTATCCATTCATCTGTTGGTGGGCACTTAGGTTGCTTCCAAGTCTTGGCTATTGTGAATAATGCTGCAATGAACATAGGTGTGCATATATTTTTTTGAATTATAGTTTTCATGTTCTTTGGATAAGTACCCAGAAGTGAAATAGCTAGATCATATGGTATTTCTATTTTTAATTTTTTGAGGAATCTCCATACTGTTTTCCATAATGGTTGCACCAGTTTACCTTCCTACCAGCAATGTAAGAGGGTCCCTTCTCTCCACATCCTCTCCAACACTTGTTGTTTCCTGTCTTGTTAATTATAGCCATTCTGATAGGAATAAGGTGATATCTCATTGTAGTTTTGATTTGCATTCCCCTGATAGTTAATGACGTTGAACATCTTTTCATGTACTTATTGGCCATCTGTATATCTTCTTTGGAAAAATGTCTGTTCAGATCCTCTGCCTATATTTTCTTTCTTTTCTTTTCTTTTTTTTTTTTTGCTGAGGAAGATTTGCCCTGAGCTAACATCTGTTGCCAATTCTCATCTTTTTTTTTAATGTGAACTGCTGCCACAGCATAGCCACTGACAGATGAATGGTGTAGGTCCATGCCCGGGAACCGTACTCGAGCTGCCAAAGCAGAGCACGCCAAACTTAACAACTAGACCACTGGGGCTGGCCCTGCCCATTTTTTTAATCGTGTTGTTTGTTTTTTGTTGTTTAGTATGAGTTCCTAATATATTTTGGATATTAACCCCTTATCAGATGTATGATTTGCAAATATCTTCTCCCAATTACTAGGTTGTCTTTTTCTTTTGTTGATGGTTTTCTTTGCCATGCAGAAGCTTTTTAGTTTAATATAGTCCTATTTGTTTATTCTTTTCTTTTGTTTCTCTTGCCTGATGAGACGTGATATTCAAAAGGATACTGTTCATACTGATGTCAAGAGCATATTGCCTATGGTTTCTTCTAGGAGTTTTATGGTTTTAGGTCTTACATTCAATTCTTTAACCCATTTTGAGTTAATTTTTGTGTATGGTGTAAGGTAATGGTCTACTTTCTTTTTTTTTTTTTCACATATGGCTGCCTAGTTTTTCCAACACCATTTATTGAAGAGACTTTCTTTTCTCTATTGTCTGTTCTTGGCTCCTTTGTCAAAAATTAGCTGTCCATAGATGTATGGGTTTATTTCTGGACTCTCAATTTTGCTCCATTGATCTGTGTGTCTGTTTTTGTGCCAGAACCATGCTGTTGTGAGTACAATAACTTTGTAGCCTATTTTGAAGTTGGAGAGTGTGATACCTCCAGCTTTGTTCTTTTTTCGCAGGATTATTTTGGTTACTCCAGGTCTTTTGTTGTTCCATATAAATTTTAGGATTCTTTGTTCTATTTTCATGAAAAATGTCATTGAGAATTTGATAGGGATTGCACTGAATCTGTAGATTGCTTTAGGAGTGTGGACGTTTTTAACTATGTTAATTCTTCCAACACATGAGCATGGAGTATCTTTCCATTTCTTTGTGTCTTCTTTGATTTCTTTCACATCTTAGTGTTTTCAGTGCACAGGTGTTTCAACTCCTTGGTTAGATTTACTCCTAGGTATTTTATTCTCCCATTTGATTTTAAGGGGCCAAAACTTCTGATTTTAATCCCTTTGTTGCCAATACTCATTGTGGGGTCCTGGTCAACTTTTTACTCCTTTTGGGGCCTTAAGGTCTCCATGTGTGAAAAAAGATTAGACCAGGCTGGTCTTTCCAAACTTTCCTGATCACAACGATCCACAGGGCACAGAAAAAGAGCTCCCAAATGTGTGAAAAGATGCTCAGCCGCATTCATCCTGAGGAAATGCTCATTAGTCTGAGACGGAGATATTTCAAACTTGGTGATGTGGAGGGTGTGAGGAAAGCACTGTTCTCATCTATTGGCAGTATACACACTGCAGCAGCTGCTCGGAGGCACATGTGAAATGACATATTTACAAAATTACTTACTTCAGCATTGTTTGCATTGGCAAAAGATCAGAAGCAATCTAAATGTCCTCCAACCAGGGATTGATTAAATACACTACAGTTCATCTATACACTAGATTACTATGCAGCCATTAAAGAAAAGGGAGGGGAAATTCATCCAGTGGTGTGCTGGTAAATGTGTACCAATAAGTTCTCCTGCTGGGGGCGGGGGGGCGGGGAATTCGGATTGCAGCATTTGTCAGTGGTGTAAACACTTCTACATGGCCAATTTCAAGCTACCAACATGAGGTCATTGAACTTGGACTTGAGAAGAGATACAGCCCCCTTGGCTCTAGCACATCACTGCCTTTATTAACTGATATAAAAAGATCACTAAGATGCATTAAATGAAAAAAAAGGAAGATGCAGAACAGTGTGCATAGTGTCCTATCATTTATGTAAAAAAAAGGAGAGGATAAGGAACATAACATATACGTATATACATACTGGCTTGTACATCACAGATTTCTCTGGAAGAACACACACATACACAGACACACACGTATATGTACACACACAGAGAACCATTAACTTTGGTTGTGATTGGGGGTGGGAACCGAGCAGCTAGGGGACAGAGTGGATGGAAGATCTCTACCATTACTCATTTATACTGTGTCAATCATCAATCATGTGAATGTCTTACCTATCCAAAACATTAAGTTCAAAATGTCATGAATCTCCTGGAAAATTTATTGAATGCTAATTCCCTGGCCTTTCCCAGGTAGATTCTGATGTGATATCCTTGGCGTAGGGCTGAGGAAATCTGTTTTTAACAAGTTTGTCAGATGATTCTTGTGATTAAGCAAATATGAGTGACACTGCCTAGCCCAGCCTTCCCATTTTAAAAGACTGGAAACCACAGACCACAGAGGAGAAGGGCCTGGCCCTGGGGTACCCAGGGAGTCAGGGGTAAATGCAGAGTTAACACCCGGGCCCCGCACCCCTAGCCTGGGCCATGCCCAGTGCTGCCCAGGAGCAGGGCCTGGGCATGGCCTTAGAGGCCGAGACTGAGAGCAAGAGAGAGAAGTGACCTGTCTGGGCCCACATGGCCACAGCCCAGGAGAATTCTACCAACATATACAAGAGCGTTCCCCACACTGCCCTGCCTTCTTGGTCTCCAACCCACATCCTGAACAACTGGGCTCAAACCCACTAGTCGATGTCAATCATGACTTTGTTCTCAGATGACAACACTGATCTAGATGACATGGGACAAGGCGTAAGATCCCTTTTTGTTAGCTCTGGCATGTAAAGTATCATCTATTACCTTCCTGGCATTCATTGCCAGCTGCTATTTCACGAAAAAGAGATATGAGGGTAGGAAAGGGGACAGTGAAGGGAAAGAGAGAAAGAAAGAAAGGAAGAAAGGAAGAAAGAAAGAAAGAAAGGTCATTTCTCCCCGAGCCCTTTGCCAAAGATATCTGATATGCTTGGCTGCAATTCGGTCCCTCGATGTCGCCTGTGTCACTGTACCTGCCTTTTGCACACATAATTAATCGTGTTTTCAAAAATGGCAAATCATGCCTCCATATGAAACAACCAGCTCAGTCCTGAGACAAATTGAATCAAGTTCTTTGGGCGTTTTTTCACTTCAATTAACGTGAAGACTGGCATATATCAGAGGTGCAAATCTCCGTGCGTTATGCGACCACAAACAGGGATGCAGCAGAATGTACACCCCGAATTATGTCTTTAAGTGCTCATTGGAGACACTTGTAATCATGTTTTATTACTGGTCTCCTCCCCAGCATAATGAACTTTGATGAAATAATGAAACAGCCCTGGCGCCTGAGCAGTCGGGCTGGCGGCCTCACCAGCTAAGACCTCCCATGAGTACAATAGCCTGAGTGGGGTGCCCGGCTCCAGTGGCAGCGGGGCGGAAAAGCTGGCACCCTGCCCTCCGTTCCCCCCTTCCCGGCTGCTGGGCCCGCCCCTGAGTCACAGAAATGCCACGGCCAATTGGAAATGGAGAACGGGCCAGGAAAGCTGGGGCTCATGGAGTCATAGAACAGGAGTGCAGCACGGGAGGTGGGCACACACCTCTTCTACCACTCCCCTTTGTCCAGAGGGGGAAACTGAGGCCCAGAGAGGAGAAATGCCTTCGCCAAGGTCACATGGTGGCAGAGAAGGGACTAGAAGCCAGATTTCATGTCACCTAATCCAATGTGCTTCCTCAGCTTCTGCGGGGTTCTCTTAACCAGTGATTCCCAACCCTGCAGAAGCTTTAACATCTCGGATTCCATCCTACCCCACTCAGAGGTAGGGCCGTACCCCTGAAACGCTGACTCAAGAGACCTATTGGCAAAGCCAAGTATCTGTGCTTCCCAAGTAATTCGGAAAGTCAGCCAGATGTAGTGGAGAAGTCAGAGGTGACAGGGAATTGAAAGTCCTCGCCAAACGAAGACTGCTAGTTCTTGCAACTTTAGGTTCAGCCACGTCCCCGCAGCATCACCTGGGACCTCTGGAATCAGAGTCTGCATTTTAGCACAACCTCCTCCAGTTTGAGAAGCACTGCTGTGTCCCCTCAGTGTAGCCCAGAGTGTGTGTGTGTTGAGGATCTGACTCCATTGTTATAGAGAAGCAACGCCTTTCTGCAGAGAGCCCCTTTGGTGTCAGACTGAATGAATTTGTTCTTTTAAAAGCACACGGAGGTATTCGGATCCCGGGCACGCCCCAAGGCACCGCTTCTCCGTCCAGCGCGAGGCCGAGTCCCGCGTACAGCAACTAGAAGGATGTGAACCTATGACATACAACTATCTACTGGGGCTTTGGGGGGAAAAAAAATGAATAAAATAAAATAAAATCTTTAAAAGCACACGGAGGTAAACGGAGGTGTTGAAAACTCCTTGGGAAAGAAATCTCATTTCTTTATGTTATATTGTCTATAACTTACATTTAAATGCACTATAAGCAGGGTAATGAGTATATATGTGAGTTAATTATTTTTACTTTTTAAATAACTTTACTGAGGGACATTTTCCATACCATATAATTCACTCCTTTCAAGTGTACAGTTCAATGATGTGCTAGTAAATCTACAAAGTTGTGCACCATCACCATAAACCAGTTTTAGGATATTGTCATCACCCCAATAATATCTTTCATGTATATTTACTGTTAATCCCTCACCCCCACCCCAGGCAACTCCTAATTTGCTTCCTATCTCTATAGATTTGTTTTTTTCCTGGACATCCCATATAAATGGAGTGGTCTCTTGTGTCTGGCTTCTTTCACTGAGAGCAATGTTTTGGGGATTCCTCCATGTGGTTGCACGCATCCACAGTTCATTCCTTTTTACTGCTGAATCGTATTCCATTGTATGCATATACTAATTTTGTCTATCCATTATATGTGAGTTAATTCTATTTACATGCAGGGGAAGATAGTTAATATTCAAAGGATCTTCATTGGGAATCCACACTCCACAAGCACTTCAAACATTCCTATCTAAATCTGCACCAGATGGTTGGTTTAGAATATGGGATGTTGGGGATCGTTTTCCTTTGGTGAAATGAGTGTTGCTCGAGAAATATAATGGGCGAGACAGACTATACAGGCTCTATGGTCCTCTCTGTCCAGTGCCCGCCTTGCAGCATGGACTCTGTCTCCTGGTTTCACTAGAAGGTAGGCTTAATGTGCCAGGAGACCATGCAGCATCCACCTTGGAGGGACCCTATCCTGAAAAGGATTTGTCAGGACACCTAAGGACAGAGAGCCAGGACTCCGCTTCTCTTATAGGAACTCGTGCTCGTTTGTGTCTGTCTTTTGTTAGGTGACACTTTTTTTCCCTGCTTGCTAAGAAATGATATACATGTAACACAATTCAACCTGAGACTTGTTTTCTTTATATCATACTATCCAGCAGTGAAGCCAAGGGGAGGAAATAGACAGCTCCCGCCCCCCTGACCTCCCCCCAGTAGTTACCAAAAGAAACTGACAATTGGTCAGATTGGCTTCCATCAGCTTGCAACACTTCCAAAATTATTTACTGAGTGCCTCAGTGCTGGGCGCTGGGTATCACGGTGTGGGAGACATTACCACCACCAGCCCTTGGAGTTGGGCCTGCACACGGACTGGTTCTGGACAATCAAATGTGAGCAGAAGAGGCATGTGTCGCTTCCAGCCCAAAGCAGTTATTAGCAGTCTGCAGACCCCACCCCTCCGCGGTGAGCCCTGAGCCCTGAGTAGAGAGACCCCTGAAACAAGGCAGATGCGTCAGCCTGGGTGCCTGACTGAGGACCCTGAACAGAGCCCCCTGCTGGTGTGTGGTGGCTGTGCGGCTCCAGCAGGAAGTAAACCTTTATTGCTTCAAGTCTTGGGATGGGGGCGTTGCTGGTTACTGCAGCATAAGCCAGCCCATCCTGACTGACTACAAAGGGCAGCGTGCGCAAGCGTGGTCCCTAGACTCACGGAACGGCAGTGAGGTGGGGAAGTCAGGCGTCAGTCAGACCATTAAAAGAAAAAATGGAGAATCGCAAACTGTGATAAATGCATGATGACTTCAGAATATACATGGAAGGCTCTGAAGCTTGTCCTAGGGAGTCAGAGAAAAGTCAAATTTGAGTGAAAACTCCCCAAAGGAGGTGTTGGGTTCTCCTTTGGAGGCAACACCAGTGTGATGGCCCAGGAGCTCAAAGATCTTGCCAGGTGATCATTAAAGCTGGCAATGCCCCTGTGAGGCATGAGGCCAGTCGCTGTGTGAGAGAACAGAGGCTCCTCCCTGGCCCCAGTGTGAGGGAACGGGCAGCAGGAAGGGTGGTGTGCAGCCCAGGGCCCCGTGCCTGGGCCTGGACGCGCCATTCTTGGAGAAGCCCTGTGGCCTGACTGGTGGCGGGAGAGGTGGCCCTGGAGCTCTCTCACACTAGTGCCTCGGGATCCTGGTCCTGCCAGTTTTCACTGAGGGAACTGAAGGATCAAGCTGCCAATTGAATAGTTTTAACTACAATGGAAAGTTGTTATTCACACATATGATAATAATAGTACTTGGCCGTTGTGCTTTTGAGTTTACAAAACACTTTTACCTATATTAAAAATGCTTCCACAGATATTAAAAACATTCCAGCAGCTTCTCAGTCATTTAGAATAAAATGCAAATTCCTTAGCATGACCAGTGGGGCCCTGTACGATGCTAGCTCCGCCCACCTTCCCAGTCCCATCTGCCCCTCACTCACGCAGCTCCAGCCACGCAGACGGCCAGGCTCTTTCTCACACCACCCGCACACCCGCTCAGAGCCTCTGTACCTCCTTCTGCCTGGAACACTCATTCCATTCACATTTGCAGGAGGGCCCTTTCTTTCCTCCTTTGGCTCAAACATCCTTTCTTCAAAGAGAAGTTTCTTTGCCACTGAATTAAGTTGCTTCTCCCCCTCCGGTCACTATCCAAAATACTTGGTTTTAGTGTCTTCATCACAGGTGCCACCATTTAGTGTAAATAACTTACTTCTCGATTGTCTGCCTCCCCAGCTTAGCTGTGAGAGTGGAGACCTTTTTCTTTTGTAAACTCAACGCCTAGAATATTTCATCGGATTGTCATCCTCTAGGGGTATATTATTTCCATTTCTGCCCATGAAGAAGAGAAGTGAGGTGGTTTGCCCAGAGTCCCAGGGCTAACAGTTAGAGCAAGAATGAGATTCCAGATCTTCTGGCCCCTGGGTCTGTGGCTTTTTCCACCCAACTGAGCCCAGCCTTGCTGTTCAGTGTCTTGTGCCCTGGGCTTGTTTCATGAAGAACCTCTCTCAACCAACAGCCACATTGCAACAGGACTAATGAACTAACTCACACTAAAAGGTGACTGACTGGTGGCTACTTTCTGCAGCCTTTCCCAGGAGGACTTGGATTTTTATAAAGAAGTGAGAAGAGCAGCGTGATCTCATCAGAAGCAGATAGATCCTGGCCTGACACTACCCCCTGTAAGTCTGGTTTTGAAGGAAGTGACTTCAAAGCGAAGATCATTATCACTTGAAGCCACTTCAAGGGGCGAGTTTTCTAGAATCAGTTCCCAGGTCAGGGCAGTGAAATCCCGGTCTGTCTTAGACCAGGCTTAGGTGGCTTTAGTCCCATGCTGTTCCTTCACTGAGGGCCTCAACTTTAGACGAATCAGTAAACAGGGTACTACATCTATCCCATTGGAATGTAGGAAGTGCATGCTCACTCACAGTTTTAAATGTGTGTCTCGTTTCTGGACCACAGTTAATATTTTTTTAATAAATCCACTCATTACCTTATGAATAGCACAATTATATTACATTGTAACATTCTTGCCTAATAGCATGAATTGTTCAGTGTAAATTAATGTTACAGTATTTGTAACTCTGATTTGGCATTTCTGCATTTTTTAATATGCCCAGACTCCCCCAGCTCAAAAAAAGCACTCCATTTCTAAGAGGCCCCAAAAGAAAATGGCAAAGCAGAGGACGAAATGATTTGGCATGCCAACGTCCATTCTTTGTGAAGAATCCTGAAGCACGTAGAGTTGGAGATGAGCACGCATTGTTCAGAGGAGGCAAGTGAGCCCCTAATGGGAGGGGCTTGTCTCAGCTCAGAGAGCCCACAAACGGACAGGATTAGAATCTGAGCTCACTCTAACCATTTCAGGGATCCCTGAGACCTCTTTCCTGTAGCTCCATGAGCCCCGCCAGAGATGAGAACAAAGCCTGGGTTGCTGCCCTCCCGTGTCGGCGGGCGGATCTGAGCCCTCTCCAGCTGAACTCCCGTACTTGTGGAACAGTCTCTGTTGCTGTCTGCTGCAGGAGAGAACACTGATAAGAGAGGAGATTAGTGACTAATCCTGCTTGGTGCCTGTACACAATGCCAGCAGGTAATTCACGTGAAGCTTAGTGGCTGGCTTTAGCGGTACAGGAGATCTGCAGAGGGAGTGGGGTCAGAGGGGTGGGAGCTTGGGGGCCATATCAGGGTTTTCAATTGGTAGATGGAAAAACATTTTCAGTAAGATGTGTAAATGTGTCTCTGTGTAAGAATACAACATATTGTGTGCACTCCCATGTACATATGTAT